CTAGGGCGGCAGTGTTGACAGTGGCCCGCCAGCTGTAAAACGAATACTTCCATGGGTACTAATGATTCTCATTGCTTTATCTGTTTTGTTTTGTCTGATGCCTGTAGTACTTTACGTGTATCTTCTAAAAGCTTAAGGCCCCAAGGAGATTAAGACTCTCTCATCAGGTTACAAACATGTCTCTAATACAATACTCCCTGCATTATTAAGTTTTAGTCTATTGGCAATAAAAATGTTATCACATGCCTAAAACTAAATACATTTCTGACAGTTTATAGAAAGGTGCAGGGAGCTTTCCTTCCATCAGTACTAGAAATATTGTTGTTAAGTAATCCCTAGTATGTCCCTACCTACCATTCATTGTTTGGTGCAGCAAATAAACTCCATTTCCTGGACCTTGTGGATTTAGTTATTTTTGTGTGTTTTAAGCTGAGATAGGACTCATGGGAGAGGCAAGAGACAGACCTAAGGAGTGTCCAGGTTGAGTTTTGCCTCTCTATTGCCATTCATTCATTCATTCATTTGTTTATTTTAGGTTTTTGGCATAGGGAGCATGCGCTTGTCCGAGGGAGAAAGAGAGAGACACACAGAGAGGGAAAGTGAGAAATCACCCTCTAGGGGATTACCACACTGCAATCCCCACTTCATTCTCCTCTTGGGATTTTGGGCATGAATGCATATGTGCCCAGTATGAGTTCTAAGCCACCAGGTCCAGGTGCCAAGCCATGGTCAACCATGTGGGAGTCCAGCAACATAACCCTTATACCATCTGCTTGTCCCTATGTTGATTATTTTTGATGTCTCCAATTTTGATAGTCAAAGGGGACACTAGTACTAGTTATTTAAGGACTAGAGGCGTCAATCAATACTATCTCAGACAAATTGAGCTTTAAAAATCAGCCTGCTCTTATGCTACTTTACTTTTGACCTGACTTTTTATTATACCACTCCAAAGATTGAGATACTTGTGTAAATACTCACTGGCAACTTCAATGACTATCAGTATATGGCCAGTATTGCCTTAGATATTCTCCTGTACCTCTGTACCCATTTACTGAAGGCAAATCCAAATAATTTTCTTGATTCACCAACCAGTTTTTGCATTTTATTCTTTTCCTCACTCCTTACCCAATCTTACCACCATTCCCACCCTTCTCTTTATTTTCACTTTCAGCACAGCAGCTCTGATGGTCCAGCTACTCCAGGACACACATCCAGGAGGGTCAGGCCTTGCATGCTCTGCCCTCTTCTGCTCTGGATAAATGGCTCCATAATGGTGGATGTGGAGGTTGGAGTGTCAATGACAGTCACTCTCCTGCTGCTCTGGTTTGGGTTGTCTCTATCCTCTTCTAGCCTCTCTCAGGCTGGGTCCTCCCAGTACTTCAGCTCCGCAGAGGTAGTGATCCCCTTGAAGGTGACCAACAGGGACAGAGGAGCAAAGGTTCCAGGATGGCTCTCTTATAGCCTGTGGTTTGAGGGCCAGAGACACACTGTCCACATGAGAGTGAAAAAGTTCTTGGTTTCTAGACACTTCCCAGTGTTCACCTACACGGAGCAGCATGCCCTCCTCCAGGACCAGCCGTATGTCCCTGATAACTGTTATTATCACGGTTATGTGGAGGGTGCCCCTAAGTCCCTGGCTGTTCTCAGTACCTGTTTTGGGGGCTTTCGAGGAGTGTTACAGATAAATGACCTCACGTATGAAATCGAGCCCATAAGGCATTCTGCCACATTTGAACACCTGGTTTATAAGATAAACAGTAATCTGACACAATTCCCACCCATGAAGTGTGGCTTAGCAGAGAAGGAAATAGCACACCAACTTCTGAAATCTGAAGAGGCTGAGAACTCAGCTCTGAAACGAAATTCGTCTGGTGACTGGTGGACCCATGCATGGTTTCTGGAGCTGGTTGTGGTGGTAGACCATGATTTTTTCATTTACTCCCAAAGCAACTTCTCAAAGGTACAGGAGGATGTATTTCTCGTGGTGAACATGGTGGATTCCATGTATCAGCAGTTGAACACATACGTGATTTTGATTGGGATTGAGATTTGGAATCAAGGGAATATTTTCCCAATGACAACCATAGAACAGGTTCTGCAAGACTTTGCACGCTGGAAACAAATCAGTCTTTCCCAGCTACAGTATGATGCGGCACATATATTTATAAAAAGCTCATTTATAAGTATACTTGGCCTAGCCTATGTTGCAGGAATATGTCGCCCTCCTATTGATTGTGGAGTTGATAATTTCCAAGGAGACCCCTGGTCTCTTTTTGCCAATACTGTGGCCCATGAACTAGGTCATGTGCTGGGTATGCAGCATGATGAGAAATTCTGTGTTTGTGGGGAAATAGGTTGCATTATGAATGCTTTCAGAGTACCATCAGAGAGATTCACCAACTGCAGTTATGCGGACTTTATGAAGACCACTTCCAACCAGGGATCATGTCTGCATGACAGTCCAAGACCAGGGAAAATCTTTATGGTAAAGCGCTGTGGGAATGGTGTGGTTGAAAGAGAAGAGGAGTGTGACTGTGGCTCTATACAGCAGTGTGAACAAGATCCCTGTTGTCTGATGAACTGCACTCTGAGGCCCGGGGCCGCTTGTGCTTTTGGGCTGTGTTGCAAAGATTGTAAGTTCATGCCATCAGGGGCACCCTGTAGGAGACAGGTCAATGAATGTGACCTTCCAGAGTGGTGCAATGGGACATCCCATCAATGTCCAGAAGACAGCTACGTGCAGGATGGGATCCCCTGTAGTGACAATGCCTACTGCTATCAGAAGAGATGTAATAACCATGACCAACAGTGCAAGGAGATCTTTGGCAAAGATGCGAAGAGTGCACCTCAGAACTGCTACAAAGAAATCAACTCCCAGGGAAATCGTTTTGGCCACTGTGGTATAAATGGCACGACATTCCACAAATGTAATGCTGCGGATATCTTTTGTGGGAGAGTTCAGTGTGAGGGTGTGAGCAATATTCCCAGTCTTCAAGATCATTTTGCCTTGCAACACATTAACATCAATGGTGTCATTTGCTGGGGTGTCGCCCATCATTTAGGTATGGATACATCTGACATTGGTGAAGTGAAAGATGGCACTGCATGTGGTCCAGGAAGGATCTGCATCCACAGGAAGTGTGTCAGTCTGTCTGTCCTGCCACAAGACTGCTTTCCTGAGATCTGCAATATGAACGGAGTCTGCAATAACAAGCATCACTGCCACTGTGCTGATGGGTGGTCCCCACCCTATTGCCTGTACACAGGCTATGGCGGCAGTGTTGACAGTGGCCCGCCAGCTGTAAAACGAATACTTCCATGGGTACTAATGATTCTCATTGCTTTATCTGTTTTGTTTTGTCTGATGCCTGTAGTACTTTACGTGTATCTTCTAAAAGCTTAAGGCCCCAAGGAGATTAAGACTCTCTCATCAGGTTACAAACATGTCTCTAATACAATACTCCCTGCATTATTAAGTTTTAGTCTATTGGCAATAAAAATGTTATCACATGCCTAAAACTAAATACATTTCTGACAGTTTATAGAAAGGTGCAGGGAGCTTTCCTTCCATCAGTACTAGAAATATTGTTGTTAAGTAATCCCTAGTATGTCCCTACCTACCATTCATTGTTTGGTGCAGCAAATAAACTCCATTTCCTGGACCTTGTGGATTTAGTTATTTTTGTGTGTTTTAAGCTGAGATAGGACTCATGGGAGAGGCAAGAGACAGACCTAAGGAGTGTCCAGGTTGAGTTTTGCCTCTCTATTGCCATTCATTCATTCATTCATTTGTTTATTTTAGGTTTTTGGCATAGGGAGCATGCGCTTGTCCGAGAGAGAAAGAGAGAGACACACAGAGGGGGAAAGTGAGAAATCACGCCTCTTGGGGGAAGGCCACACTGCAATCCCTTCTTCATTCTCCTCCTGGGATTTTGGGCAGGCACACCCATATGCCTGACTTGATTTTCAAGCCACTGAGTCTAGGACTTGAACTTGGTTGCCCGTGTGGGAGTCTAACACCTTAAACACTATGCCACTCTACTGCCATTTAGTAATTTGGGAAAATTACTTACATTTGTTGTCATTCTGCTTCAACATGGGGAATGAGAGAAGAAAATCTATTTGTCTTGCTCAACTCAACTCCTGGTAATGGCACAAAGAGGTATGGTATTATCTGTTGAAGATATTTTGTAGCTTTATCAACAGTACTAGGGAGAAATGTTCACCTGTTGAAATACCATTTTGTAAGATAAATAATAATGTGATTGAATGTATGGAAGAAAATAAAATGAAAAAAATGATTATGAGGTAAAAACATTTAAACATGTGAATAATTGTTTAAAAATAATGAAATAAATAAAATAAAAATATAATAAAATTAAGAATAAAAAAAGAAAAGAAATTAGTGAATTCTTATTAAATATAAACAAATTCTTTGTTTAATAAAACTTCTAATCTGTTCCCTGTGCAAGTCTGTTTATTCTAACTTTGCCTTAATTTGGCAGTTTGGGGTACCCCTTTGGAGTATTTGCTTTGAATATAAAAATATAAACTCTGTGAAGACAGGATCGTTCTAATCTGTTTTGATCACTGCTGTATTCTCAATATCTGCAATAGTGCATAATTTAAATAAAGTAATGGATTTGAATGAATTATTAAATGTATGAAATTAAATAGAAAAACTAAAAATATTTTGTCACCTTGAGGATGTCACACTGATTCTCTTGCTCAAAATGCAATCTTGCATATTTAAAATATGTTTATTTAAAATGCTGCTGCTTGTACTTGGTGTGCTTATCGGTCTTTCTGTCGTTAATTTGTCTTCTCCTCAGTCCACTCTGTTTTGGATAGCTCATCTCTTAAAAACACAGATATGATCAGATACCCTTTGTACTGTCAAGATAATTCCTGGATGACACTCTGTAAATTGAGTCTAATGACTATTTCTATATCATAAACCATTATGCTTTGCCAATCTTGCATTGTCTGTTTAGAATATATTTGGCTGTGGGCCCAGTAGGTGACTTGGTGGTTCAAGAGCTGGACTCTCTCATGGCTGACCATGATTCAAGTCCCAGACCTGGTGGCTTGCTTTCTCACTCTCTCTCTCCCCCTCTGGTGAGTATATATGCCCTATAGCAAATTTTAAAAATAGCAATAATAAAAAATACAATGAAATAAATAATTCTTAAAAAAAAAAAAAGAATATATGTGGCTATGTCATCCTCCACTACACATGTAATCCCCATTCCCCAAATACTGTTTATTACCATTCCCTATTTTCTTGGCTTGGAAAACTCTATTTTTGTCTTAGTAGAGGTTAATTGTCATACCTTTGGAAAAGCATTTCTTATGAAATGTTAGGTATTCTATTTGCATGTCTCCGTTACTTTGGGGTCATTCTTTTATGGTTTGATATACTCTAGGAATAGCTGAGGAGAGGTCTTAACAATGTACTAGCCAGGGACAGAAAGATGAAAAGGACATCTAATGGGGATGCAGAAATAGGGAAGCATGAATCGAGAATACAGCTTGACTAAATTTAGCTATAGAGGATACATCAGAGAAAGACTTACAATTTTTAAGTGTATATGTCCATATGGAAACAAAAAAATAGCTATTCCAATTTATTGATTCTGTGTTTTTTTTTTTTTTTTTCCAATTTGCCAGAGGGTTTGTGTGCTTGCCAGAAAGACAGAGAGATGGGGGAGAGAGAGAAAGCACCTCCCAATAGTAGATGATCACATTGCAATCCCTTCTCCATTTCTTCATCCAGTCAGGATTTGGGGCAGGCACACACACATATGTCCAGCATGTTTTTTAAGCTTCTGAGTCTGGAACTTAAACCATCTAGTCAACCACGTGGGTTCCAGCCTCTTTTAACCACTAGGCCATGGGACCAACCCGTACTGATTCTTTTGTAAAATTGTATATTGTATTAAATAAAATATATTCGAAATGGATTATAGTCAAATTCATCAGTCTAATTTTTTTATGTTTGCTGAGTTTGTATTTCTGCTTGAGATTATTTGAAATAACTCATTCTTTTCCTAGGATTATGCTGACTTCAGAGTCTATCCTTAAATATGGAGTTTGTTTAGCTATAAGGAATGAGATAGGAATCAAACCATGTACTTTCCCAAATGGATAGCCCGTTGTCCTGGTACACTTTATTGATTAAGCCATTTTTCACTATGGTAAATTGAGATTCTGCTTTATACTTTAAAGTTACTTGTTAGGTGGTGTGGTGGTTAAGGCACTGGATTCCCACATGGCTGACCATGGTTCAAGTCCTGCACCTGGTGGCTTGCTTTCTTACTTTCCCTCTCTTTCTCTGTGTCTCTCTCTGGCCAAATAAAAAAATAATAAAATAAAATTTTAAAAAAGTTAATTTGTTAGGAGTCCATTGTTTTACTTGTAAATGCATACAAGAAGCCGCATATTATATTTTGTAATATTCTAATTTTAAAAAGCAGTACAGTTGTTTTATATTGATTGAGTTAATTAGGGTTATATAAGTCAATTATATCAAGATTGGTGGGTAGAATTTAACCTCTTTTTTAACAAACATAGAGAAATACCTACTCTTTTATTTATTTTTATCATTTGGTTACTCTGTATAAAGGATGAAACCAATTTACTTTAGAGTATACTAGGTATATATCATGAACAGTATTTTCTGTATATTTAGTTCACATACAAATTTAAAAGGGTAGCTTTACTGGAACTTCTTTTCAAACAGCTGACAAAGCATTATTCATATTTTGTTGAAAATAATATTATGCTACTGAATAAATAGTTGGAATTTATAAACACTTCATGAAATATAGCAGCAGAGAGATAAATTTTTAGTCAAATAATATGTAAAATACAGAAATGTCTTGGTATTAAGCTAAATTTCCAAAATGAAACGACTCATTTCGTCCAGGTAAACAATACCAATATTCACTGAGACTACTTTTCAGAGTTCACATTAAAATATCTGCCAACTACATAAAAACTTTGATCAATTTCTTGAGGGAATATATGTAACATCATTACAAACTACTTCTTTTTTTTTTTTGAGAGGTTTTTGCTATAGGGCATGTGCATTCACCAGAAAGACAGAGAGAGACAGAGAGACAGAAAGTGAGAAATCACCCCCCCCCCCGGGGGGGGATGGCCATGCCACAATCCCTTCTCCTCCATTCTTCTCTCGGGATCTTG